AGAGGCGCCGGGGGAGGGGCCGGGGGGCGCAGGCGGAGGCCCCGGCAGGGGCCGGCCCTCGTCCTACCGGGCCCTCCGCAGCGCCGTGTCCAGCCTGGCGCGCGTGGACGATTTCGACTGCGCAGAGAAGATCGGGGCCGGTTTCTTCTCTGAGGTCTACAAGGTAGGACCCACGGGCGAGGGTAGAGGGGCGGGACCGAGCCTTGGACGGGAGGCTGGAACTTAGGGGCCCGCAGCCGCCTGGGTTGGAGATCCAGTACTTGAGCTAGCCACCCAACCTGCGGGGCACGCACCGATCCTCGCCGCCCCCAGGTTCGGCACCGACAGTCGGGGCAAGTCATGGTGCTGAAGATGAACAAGCTTCCCAGTAACCGGAGCAACACGCTAAGAGAGGTGCAGCTCATGAACCGGCTCCGGCACCCCAACATCCTCAGGTGAACGGCCTGACCTCTTGCTGGGCAGGAGGGAAATGGAAAGGTCCCCCGGGAAAGGAGCGGGATGCGGTGGAGCCCGGGCTCTTACAGCCCTACCCTTCTGTCCTCTCCATCGTCTTTCAGGTTCATGGGGGTCTGTGTGCACCAGGGGCAGCTGCACGCTCTTACGGAGGTAAGCATGAAGCGTGGGGCCAGGAAAGAGGGAAGGTACCACACCTCCAAGTGAAAGTGTCAGCGGGCTTGGTGGATCTACAGGGAGATTAAAAAGGAGCCACCGGGGCCTTGGGACCCTCTCCAACAGGAGGCTTCCTGAACTTCCTTTGGGCAAACCACACACCAGAATCCTCAGCTAGAGAGTCATTCCTGAGAACAGTGTGACCCATAGAACTTTCTGCCGCGATGGAGATATTTTGTGTCTGTCTAACACGGGAGCCACCAGCCGCACATGGCTAGACTAAAGCAAGAGCTGGTGTGGCCGAAGAACTGAGTATCTGGTCGTGTTTCTATCTCTTAGCTGACACAGCTTAGCTACACAGCGCTGCTGTGATGCACAGGGCAGCCTAGGAGGTAAATGGGACCCTCGGGGCCCAGGCTCACCCTCCGGACCCTTGTGATCCTCCTGAGTGTCACCTGGCCTATGAATGGCAGGCATAGAACACAGTCTGAAGCCTTGACAGCCGCCCCCCTCTTTCTCCCCCTGTGTCCCAGTATATGAATGGGGGTACCCTGGAACAGCTGCTCAGCTCCCCGGAACCCCTGTCCTGGCCAGTCAGGCTCCACCTAGCACTGGACATTGCCCAAGGCCTACGGTACCTACACGCCAAAGGTGTGTTTCACCGAGACCTCACATCCAAGGTAGGCTGGCCGAGGTGGGTGGGGAAATGAAAAGGGTCTGTGGCTGTTAAGTTGTGATTGGCCTGAGGATGTTGGCATGTGGGTGGTAAATGCATTAGGGTGTTGGGGTGACAGGGTGATGGAAATTATTAAAGAACAGGGCGAGGGGTGCTCTAAGGAACTGAGTGTCTCACTGAGTGTTGAATGGTGTTGCAGTAATGGGGTGCAGTGGAGGACTGGGAGGGAAGGTCGGGGTGAGGCTGCGGTGACCCAGGGTTTTGGGTGTATACTGGAAGACCAGAGAGCAGGTGATGGGTGTGTGAGGATGCCTATGTGTGTGTGTCAGAACTGTCTGGTCCGAAGGGAAGACCGCGGCTTCACAGCTGTTGTGGGGGATTTCGGACTGGCTGAAAAGATTCCTGTGTACAGGTGAGGTGGATGCCCTTCATGCCCCAAGCCTCCCAAGGATCCCCCATATGTGTGTGAAGCTCCCAGTGACATTTTCTGTGGGTGGGGAGAAGGCTCGCCCCATCCCCTTTTGCTTGGGGGAGACGTCTGAATAGAGGGTTCTGACCCCCTCCTGCAGGGAAGGGGTGAGGAAGGAGCCCTTGGCTGTGGTGGGCTCCCCATACTGGATGGCTCCAGAGGTGTTGCGGGGAGAGCTGTACGATGAGAAGGTAAGAGCCTCCAGTCCCCCCGAGACCCTGAGATAGAGCCCCTTCCAACAACCACCCTCCCCACCCTCTCCCATACCCTCACTGTCACCTTCCAACACGAGATAACTGCCACCTCCTCCCCCTCGGCATGGTCCGTCTCCTGCCTCCAGGCCGACGTCTTCGCCTTTGGGATCGTCCTCTGTGAACTCATTGCCCGAGTACCTGCGGACCCTGACTACCTACCCCGTACTGAGGTGAGTAACCTCCACAATAGGTGCCTCATAACCAAAGGGGGCTCCCTGGAGGTGGAGACGCTCACAGTGGGCACACGCAGGCCCTGGGGAAGGCTAACTTGGCAGCCCTTCCTCTGTCCCCACAGGACTTTGGTCTGGATGTGCCTGCCTTTCGAACCCTGGTGGGAAACGACTGCCCGCTGCCTTTCCTGCTCCTGGCCATCCACTGCTGCAGCGTGAGCATCACCCCTCCCTGACCCCATCCATGAGCTGTCTGTCTTCTAGGTCCCCGGGACCGTGGGAGGGAAACTCACCTTCCTCCTGGGCCCCGAGTCAGCTGCCCTGTCTGTTCCCATCAGATGGAGCCCAGCACCCGGGCCCCCTTTTCGGAGATCACCCAGCACCTGGAGCAGATCCTGGAGCAGCTGCCTGAGCCTGCTCCCCTCTCCAAGACGCCCCTCACTACGGCTCCCTTAACATACAATCAGGGTAAGTGGGCATGACCTTGACCCAACACAAGTCTTGCTGCCTCTCCTGAGAGTCAGTCATCTGGGGGAGGCCGAGCGGCCCTCCTGGTTGGAAGGGCTGGGAGTCCGGTGGAGTTGGGTGGGATGGAGAGGCGTCTTGGAGAGCCCAAGAACGCAGAGGTAGGAAAGGAAAGAAAGGTAGAAAGGTAGCTGGAGGAGGGGCTGGTGATAGGGCTTATCGGGTCAAAGGTGCCTGCGTAAGGACCCAAGTCCTGGAAGGTTCTTCTGACCCCTGACCTCCACCTACAGCGCCAACGTCCTATTGTTCTCACAGGTGTGCACACAGACCCATGATTACCTTTTGTTTTCCCCTAAGGAAAACGGTGGCTGGGGTAACAGCTCCCCCTTTACAGCACCCAGAACTCCCTCTCCTAAGCTCTTGCCCCACCTCTTTCCTGGGGAATAAGGGCCTCACTCTGAGCAGAAGTGAGGACAGTGGTCACCGCCTCTCTTTGTACAGGGTCTGTCCCAAGAGGAGGTCCCTCCGCCACGCTTCCCAGGCCAGACCCCCGGCTCTCCCGCAGCCGCTCCGACCTCTTCCTGCCACCCTCACCAGAGTCGCCCCCCAGTTGGGGGGACACTCTGACACGAGTCAACCCCTTCTCGCTGCGGGAAGACCTCAGGGGTGGCAAGATCAAACTCCTGGACACACCCTGCAAGCCGGCCACCCCGCTGCCCCTGGTACCGCCGTCACCGCTGACCTCTGCCCAGCTGCCCTTGGTGACCACTCCAGAGACCCTGGTCCAGCCTGAGACACCTGCCCGGCGCTGTCGCTCTCTGCCCTCTTCCCCTGAGCTCCCCCGACGGATGGAGACTGCACTGCCAGGTCCCGGCCCTTCCCCCATGGGCCCCCCGGCTGAAGAGAAGATGGAGTGTGAGGGCAGCAGCCCTGAGCCAGAGCCCCCGGGGCCAGCGCCCCAGCTGCCTCTGGCTGTGGCCACCGACAACTTCATCAGTACTTGCTCCTCGGCCTCTCAACCCTGGTCTCCTCGATCAGGACCTCCCCTCAATAATAACCCCCCTGCCGTGGTGGTCAATTCCCCACAAGGATGGGCTGGGGAGCCCTGGAACCGAGCACAGCACAGCCTTCCTCGGGCGGCAGCCCTGGAGCGGACAGAACCCTCGCCACCCCCATCAGCTCCCCGGGAGCCTGAGGAGGGCCTGCCCTGCCCCGGCTGCTGCCTCGGCCCCTTCAGCTTTGGCTTCCTATCCATGTGCCCCCGGCCCACCCCAGCTGTTGCCCGCTACCGCAACCTGAACTGTGAGGCGGGCAGTCTTCTCTGCCACCGAGGGCACCATGCCAAGCCACCCACACCCAGCCTGCAGCTGCCTGGGGCACGCTCTTAGCAGCAAGGCCTACGATCTCAGGCTTCCAGCCTCGGCCTACGGGACAGCCTGTAAGGACAGAGCGCACTTGCCGGACAATGCCAGCCCCAGATGGGCTGACTGGCTCTTCTCCCCGTCTAGGGGAGCCTCAGCATGGTCTCAATGGACAGCACTTCCTATCCGACCCCTTGGGTTCGCTTTCCCACGGGGATCACTGAACTAGACACAGCATTGCTGACACACAAGACTAACACGTGCAAATTATTTAAAGATATTTCAATAAAACTGCCTGGCTGGCTCCGGGCCATCCATCCACTCAGCGGTGCGCCCTCCTCCCCTGACCCATGTCCAGTCTGGGAAGTTCCTAAGGAAGGCCCAAGTCCTCACTCTCTTCCCAGGAATAGTCCAGTTTCTGGGGCGGCTTTCAGGCAGGCAGCAGGTTGCCAGGTCAGGATCCGGCCCTTAGCTGAGCGTGCCCAAGAGTGAGGGAACGCTGGAGGAATCACAGGGCTAAGTATTGGCAGGCCACAGGTTAAAGATGTCGGTCACAAGCTCTTGTTGGTGTGTCTGGAAAAATAAAGCATCAGTGAGCTCCAGCTGACTGTCACTAATGCCCATCCAGTTCACACTGTCCTCTTCCAGCTCCCCTGTTCCAGGCCATTTTTGTCCCCATTCCCTGCCTAACCTGGCCCTACCTAAGCAGAATGAGCCCCTGGAGGTTGTGGATGTCACAAATTTTCCCTCTGTCCTGATGCACACACCTCTGCCCTATCTCCGTACCACCTACCTCCATACTTACCCATTTCAGTGCAGGTGATCTCAGGAAACCCGGAAGCTTCCAGCTCGCAAATGCAGGGATTAAGCTCTGTGCACTCTGGTTGGTATATATTCCATGTGTTAAACGGTTTTCTTAGCTTCCAGCATTGTGAGCTGTGAGAATAAGATGCAAGGGTGGTGAGTAGAATTGGGATACACTCTGGACCCCTCCCTTCCCCTTGCTCTTTGTAAAACCTAGTCCAACACCTGTCTCCCGCTAAGACCATGTGTTTCAGGATCCGATTCCTGAACTTCAGCTCAAAGCTCCCCAAAGTCATCCAAGATGAAAGCCCCCCCCTCCCAAGGAGCTGCGTGTGCTGGTGCACGCCTTTACTCCCAGCACCCAGGAGACAGGCAGGCCACTATACAATGAAACCATCTCCTAGCCATGGAACATGAAGTAGCCACTACTTCAGGGGTCCTCTGCTGCCTGCTCTCTGCCCGCGGTTCTAGCGGCCCAGTTGGCATGGGCTAGGCAAGCACAGCCAGTTTGGGCGGCTCGTCAAGGCTTAGGGAGTTCAATGCCAGCCTTCTCTCTGGCTGTGAAGCCCTAGCTAAATTCTCAGCTCCCGCTGACAGATGAAACCGACCTCATCCTAATAACTGCTTTTTTATTTTGTTTTTTGAGATGGGGAGTCTTGCTGTGTAGCCCAGGCTGGCTTAACTCCCAATCCTCCCTCAGCCTCCTGAGTGTAGGATTATAGGAACATGCCATTGTAATTTTTATTTTAAGTGCATGCTAGAGAGCTCCAGGTACTATGGACAGGATGTGAAGTAAGTACAGGTCAGTGGGATGGCTTGGCAGGTACGGCCCTAAGCCTAGTGGCCCGAGCATGGTCCACATGGCAGGAGGGAACTGATTCCTGCAGGCTGTCCTCTGACTGCCATATGGCACCCCTTAACATGCGATTTTTTTTTTTTAATTAAGAATATCTTAAGCCGGGCGGTGGTGGCGCATGCCTTTAATCCCAGCACTCGGGAGGCAGAGCCAGGCAGATCTCTGTGAGTTCGAGGCCAGCCTGGGCTA